GATTGGTTATCTAAACTGATTGAATATCAGAAATTTAAAAACATGAAGTTAAGCATCCCTATGTTTAAACGTTTCTTTCAATAGCAATTATAACTGACTTTTGCTGTTTCATTCCTCTCTGTACATATGATTCCATTGGATGAAACACATCAAATAGGATTTTTTTCCATTTTGTTATTCAATTACTTACCATGTGTGTGTGTGTGTGTGTGTGTGTGTGTGTGTGTGAGTGAGAGAGATGAAAACTATTTTCTGAATTTAAAGAGACATTGTTTTGTTAGATGTGATTTACAAACTAAAATAAGTTTGTTTTGTTTTTTTTAAAACAATTCATGAATCCAAGAAAGTTCATAAATTGCATTGCCAGTAGTTTGCTAATCAAAGATCTATGATAACATTTAAATGCATCGTTTTTTGTTTCGTTTTGTTTTTTTTAAGTGATCTGCCATTAAAAATGGCTACTGGCCAGTCACCTGAATTTGTCCATGAAAGTTTGTTAAAAATACAAAAAATGGTATCAATATCAGGTAAAAGGATTTTTCTTTCTTAATCTTAAAAAGAAAAAATTCTTTACATGATTTATATCTTAATAACTGATCATTAACTTATTTAAAAGACAGGAAAATTATATCAGATTTATTTAGCATTTAACAGAAAAGTTAAATTAATCTTAATTATTAAGACTAATTAACACTTCCTGAGATTGACATCTGATGCCTTACCAATTATGAATTGGTTATTAGACTTGCTTTGTGAATAGAAAAGAAAGACAAAAAAAAAGCAACTGTATTATGTCATGCAAGAGGCTTATAAAGCTGGTTGACGTCATCTAACACCATGCAGGTGTGGAGTTACCTCTTGCTCACTGATCTCCAGTGATTTCATATTGTTGCCCACAACTTTCAACTCTTCCTCCAACTCTACGATCTTCCTGTAATACAGAATGCAAAATTAGCAAGATCATATTCAACACCTGACCATTGGCTTGCTTACCTGTTCACACTGGACTTCTATTGTTTTGCAAGTATTACCAACTACATGTAGCTGTTCTTCAATGTCAAGCCTTTTGCTGTAATGGCATAGAAAACAGGGTCATTATTGTCTTTTTTTTTTGCTTGGGCAAAGGGCAGGACAATGCCAGGCCTAGCAGTCCAGGCTATGCATGCCCAAAACCAACATTATGCCAAAACAGCTTTTGAGGCAGCCAGATCAGAGCCAGCAACAGAATATAGATTGGGGGGATAGATATTAAAATAAAAGCCAATGGAGGTTTTTCTTGCAGAGGAATCAAAAAAAAAAAAAAAAAAAAAAAAAAAAAAAAAAATGTGAAGAAAAAAGACTTGTCACTCTCCAAACTTGATGGATAGCATTTAGTTTATTACAAACTTCACAAAAATTGTTTTGTTTTTCAATAAAAGTGATTAAGACAAAATATTTTAGAAAGAACTTGTTTTTATCTCATTCTTATTTTTTTTGTGTGGGGGGGGGTGAAAAAAAAAAGAAAAAGTTTTTTTTTAAATTATCAGGAAAAATAAAAAATAAAAATAAAGTGAAGAAAAAGGAAAATAAAAAAAAATAAATGTAAAAAGTAAAGAAATTTTCAAAAGTAGAAGAAAAATAAAAAGTGAAAGGAAAAATAAAAATAAAAGAAAAAATTGTTATTGCCTCTTTCATTGGCTTACAGAGTTTTCTATAGCACAAAAAAAACAAAAAAAAAAACAATCAAAACTTTTAGAGAAAAGCAACAGCATTAATGAAAATTTAGGTCATTCATTAAAATAATAAATGTGAAGTTACAGCATCCTTCAAGTATTGGTTAGTGACTGGTCAATCCTCTACAAACTATCGGTGAAGTACAATTGTTAACAAGAACAACAAGACAAGTTTTGCTCTGACTATCGCTACAAGCTTACCTTAGCTTCATTAATCTGTAGTGTTTTAAGGTTTCTACTGATTTGGTTCATTTCCTCTTCCAGCTCTTTTGCTCGCCTATAAAATCCAACAGCACACATGCTGATCAAAAATCACATGCAGGGCAAAATGTCAGTCCCCAGACCAATAAGGGTGGGCCTGCCAGTTTGAGAAAACACCTTGCTAACTGACACAGACTAAAGACTCATTTTCATTAGATAAAAATCCTAGTTTATTCACAAAGCAAATGTAAATTGCTTTCAACTTGAAGAATTTCCCTTATCACAGCATTCCAGGCTCCTTATAAATTTTTTTTTTTTTTAAATCAATTCACCCCAAGCAAGTCAATAATGCCACTAAGACACAAGTGGCTAATTGGAGTGAAAGAGAATAAGAAAACTTTAAAAGAAACTAGAAAGACAATCCTAAACAGGGGGATAAACCTGTGCCCCTGTTGAAGAGGGCTGAGGAGGAGCATGAACAGGACAATCATGTTAACTTACCATATGAATTTTTTTTTTTTAATCCAGTATTTCAGTAATAGGTGTGTTGGGAAAACTTATGCCAACAACTTATGCTCTTATAGATTTTTCATTCTGAAGCAAAACAGATCATCTTTCCTCTTGAATAAAGTTGGGGAGCAAATAAAGTGCTGGCAGAATCAGGTGACATTTTCAAAATTTAAAAAGCATACCCGCCTCCCTATTGTTTATTCAAGAGGTAATAGAGAATAAAAAAAAAAAATTGCTATTTCCTCAAATATACAGGGATGGTGTATGCTTATTAAAATTTTTTTAATTAGAATCCCCACTCCTTACACTTTATTTGAACCTGCCATTTATTCAAGAAGCAAGAGTAATTTTGTTTCTTGTTGAATAAATAGTTGCAGGGAATGCTTATTATCCTTTTGATAGATTTTTTATGGCTTTTCAACCGTCTGCAGGTTATTTAAAGTCAGGAAATATTTTTAGATTGTAAGAATTATATTTGTTCTTTTGGAGAATGATTTAGAGATACACATCTTACTAATTAACCCATAACTGGGGAGAGAAGAGGTGTATTCATACCATTATCAAAAGGTATTTGGGCATAAGTGAATATAACGAACCCGACTGGAATTGAAAGTCGGCACTCCAATTAACAATTTCAAGCCATTATCTATTACACCACCTGCACATCCAAGCTTACAGCACCTGGTATTCCCAAGCAGTACCCCGTCTAGGTACTGACCAGGCTTGATGTTGCTTAACCAGTAATTGTATGGGATCTGGTGTTTCAACATGATATGGTCATAAGCCTTTTTTGAAAAAAAAAAAAAAAAAAAATTTAGAGATCCCCTCCCCACAACACCACCAAATACTTGTACTTTATTTGACTCCATCCACACACATTTGAGGGGCATGTGTACAGAGTTAGAGTCAAGGTTGCTTTTGGCATTACACCCATCAAAGAATAGTAAGTTTTGCTTTACATGTAAAAAATCTGGAATGCTATGTTCAAATTGATAGCTAATTATATTTGCTAAATGAATAAATAGATTTTTTTTTTCTTTACACACACCCTAGACAAATGTGTGTGTGTGCGCAGATGCATCTCTAACCTAAAAATATAGAAACCAAAAACAATTAGACAAATGTAAGATTGTCTTTAGTAAATATCCTTAAAAATGCCTTCAATTGCTAGCAGCAAATTAAAGGCTAGTTTATTTTACAAAAGCACAAATATCCAACATATGCGCTTTTTTTTTTCTATTATTTTTGTTTTATTCAAATCTCATTGTTACCAGTACCTGGCATTTTTAGTGAAAGCCGAAAATTCAAAAATGAAAATCTTTAAACTACAATAAATCCTTTCTTTGAAAACTAAATCTATAAAGAAATAACCCAGACAGAAGTTATTCAACCAAGTTTTTTTTTTTAAGGCTTAAGACAGATGCACTGCAAGTTTAAAATAGTCGTCAACTTTTCCCATTTCTTGAATAAGATTGTAACTTATTTTGGTGTCAGTTAGCAAAAATTAGTAAGTAATCCACGTGTCACAACCTTGTTAATAGTTAGTAAATATGGAGCAGGACCTGCTTGTTTGTTTCTTTAAATTTTGCAAGTTATTTCTCTAAAATAGTATTAAAAAAACGTTTTCCCCATAAACAGAATTGCTAGATCAAGGAGTTAAATTTGAAAGCCCAGTGCTATTAAATTTTGAATTTGTGTTGTTTTAGACAACTTTCAAATCCAGACAAACTTGGACTGATAAAAACAAAATGTAGTAGTTCTTGGCTTTCAGATATAATCCCATGTGAGAGCCCCATTCCCTAAAAGCTGCCATAAAAATTAGTGTCAGAGGAATTTTCCCTGGAAATGATCTGGTGTCTTCCAATGGTAAAGTTAAGCACTTAGAACAAGGTTTGGCTATCAGTGATGAAAGCATGGTGGGGGGGAAAATAACTTAAGTATTCAGTTTATTCAAGATATCAAGCAAAGGTTTTAAGGATTTAGAGTTGCAGTTAAAAACTAAATAAATAGGGGTGGGGGTCTGTTACAGCTAGATTCTTAACAGATCAAGAAAAGGAGTAAATTAAGACAGCAAGAAATATCACTCCACACTTTTAAGAACATTAGACTGTAGTATTTTTTTTTTTTTTTTTTTTGGAAGAAGTAGGTGAGAATAAGGTTTTGTGAAGGTACCCAATGTTTAAGGCAGCGGATTAGAAGATTACTGCATAATTTAGAGAAGCCCATGAAAAGTGAAGAGTAAGTTTTCTTAAAAAAAAGAAGTACAGATGATGGTGCTCACTAAGCCCCAAAGAGGAAGGACACGTGGAGTGTAATTTGCAATTGGTTAGAAATTCATACAAAGAGACTGGATGTTTAACTTTAGAAATACAGATTTGAAAATTTTATTAAACACTTTTTCATTAATTTTTTTTTTTTTTGACAAAATTGATTTTTTAAAATTGAAGTCAGCTGACAAGGTACTGCGATTAAGCTTTATATTTTTCTTGCATTTATACAAGGGATTTCCTTTTGACAGTGTGTGTGTGTGTATATATATATATATATATATATATATATATATATATATATATATCACACAAATATATATATATATATCTCTCACACAATCATTTGGACATTTTGTACACGCTATCAAAAAATAAATCTCTTGTACAAATACAAAAAAATATGATAAAAAGCTTAATCAGTCCTATGTCAGTAGTCTTCAATGAAACATTTCTATATAATATAAATAAATAAAAGTCATGAAGGGTCCAACTATGCCTTTGATTCTTTCCAAAATAAATAATTTTTATGTCATAAAAAATGTATTATTGATAACTTTTAAAATTTCTCATTTCTTAGGATAAATTGTGAACAAGCAACATTAGTAATGTCAGCAGAGAAGGCCTCTTTTTCCTTGATATTAGAATGAGTTCTGTCCACAAGCACAGAGAACATGTCACAACTGAATGAAAGAAAGTTGTTGACCGAGTAAGAATAATTGTAAAGAAGTAATGCAGTGAAGTCAACTGCTGATACTTCCAACAGATCAATAAATTACAAAGAACTGAATTAGTTTTCAATTAAATAAGTTTTAAATATATATATCATTATTCATTGATCTTATTTTTTTCTCATTTAACCATTAATGGTGATCAAATACTGCATGTTCCATCTTCAAAGTCACCCATCACTACTGAAGGCAATGTTTATGCTTCCATGCACCATGATGCAGAGTTCTGTGCCAAAAAGGAACCATAGGGAATATTCATTAATAGAACTCCATCAGTTAGGCCAATTTATATTATGTCTGCTGATTTGATCTCTTGAATTTACAGGGCCACTTACTCTGGACATAATTTGTTTAATATATATTTATTACCTATACTTGAAGGTCAGTATCATTATATATTTTCCAAAAATTCAGTTTTGAATTAACACCTAACAATTACATTCTGAATGAAACTCGGTTGTACTATTGGTGTGTAAAAAAAATGTATTTTTATTATTAATATAAATTATAGCTTTGTTATTATACACTGAGCCCTATTTTATCAGTACCAGCACTCAATGCGTGAGATTATATATGAGAAGCTGTCTTCACCATTGAACACTTGTCCTTTTACTGTTACTAAGTATTTGTATACACACACATTTAAGAATATTACTTATGTTGAATGAAGATAATGTTTTATTCTTGTTAAAAACATCCAGTCCCTAGCAAAAAGATTTGTGAATATAAAAACAAAACAAATCCCAAAGATTTGTCTTATTTAATAATTACACAAGGCAAAGCATTTTCAATTAAAATCTTTTTTTTTTTAAATTAACAAAGCAATTTAAACTGGTTGTAGCAAAAATGTCCTGTTAAGCTTATTGGCTCTAGCAGAACATCTTTGTACAACCAGTTCAAAAACAAAAAAAAAAAAAGTTGACCCACACAATGCAAGAAATTCATTTCAACAGAAACAGTTTAATTAAAGTTTCAAAATAAATGCTTATACTTTTATATAATGTAGCTAGCATCAGAACTTTAGTTTGTTTTTGTTTTCTTTTTTTACTTCCCAAACAGAAAAAAATCTTTTATTCTTTAGAGAAAATTTGATTTTTGTTCTGGGCTGCAGACTCAGCACAAAAATTCAATTGATATTTAAATTGTGAATAAAAATAGTTTTCTTTTTACAGGCTTTCAAAAAAAAAAAAAAAACAATGTCGTTACCAAAATTCTTGGAAATGTTAAGACAGAAATCTTAAAATCTTCCATAAACGTAGCTACATTGTACATAGATGAATGTTGCAGGTGGGTCAATAAAATTTGGAGATCAGAAAATTGTGTGCAAATGAGACAAAAAAGTAATAATAGTATAAAGATAATTGATTTTTTTTTTTTTTAACCAATGAAGAATTGAAACAAATTTGTGAAATTTATAAATTCCACTTGAAGCCTTTTTTGTTTTGTTTTTTTTATTTATAAAAAAATATAAAAATTACAAAGACAGGAAATTAAAAAAATCCCTCAATAAGGCACACAATTTTCAAGAAGTTAAAGCTGAAGAGACACTGACAATTTAAAAGAATGTGCAAAGTTATCAAGCTTTTTACAAAGCATGCTGGGAAAAAATTGTGTGATTAAATAATCAGACAAATATTTTTCTTCAAAGAGTTAAGTTTACCAGAGTTGTACTAAATATTAGTAAAAAGGAGATTTCATAAACTATTGTTAAACAAATGACTTAAAGTATAATTTTATAATAAGGAATGGAAAGTTTGGAAATCTCATTTTTTGTTAATATATGATGTTATCCCATAATAGGTTACATTCATTACATACATGAATGCATTAGAAGAGAAATGTAGTAACATTTTTTAATATAAAATATCTTTTTCTAAAATTGTTCCATAAACTCCAAAATTTGGAGAGATTAAACTATGCCTTTTTTATAAAAGATGATAAACCCAATTAAATGAAATCCCCCATTTTAAAAAGTCAGTGCCTCTTCCAAAGAGAAAGAGGTTAGAGGAAGAGAATTTCAAATCAGACATGCTATCAAGTACCATGCTTATCTAGCCATCCTTAGTGTAGAAACCATTCCAAAAAAGTCAATTGAACTACTTTTACTTAAAATTAAAAATGTAAGAAAACTAGGATCGATATTAATTGAATATTGAAATTCTATTCACTAAAATTGGAAATTAAGACAAAATAAAACAGTTTTATAAAAAATAATATTAAAATAAAAAAGGAGTTTTAAGGAGTTAGATATTCAAGCAGAAAAACGAAAGCAGAAAAACATTTGAAAAAGATACATTTTATGAAATTAAATAATTAGGATAAAAATTTGTTTAACCCTTTCATGACTGAAAACAAAATGTGACATTTTATACAAGTTGCTATATATGAAGATTTGAGAGGAAAAAAAAAAAAAAAAACACCTTCCAAAAGACATACTTTGGGTAAATTTTATTTTAAATTTTTAACGCCATGTTCCTTCAGAACATAAACGAAGATAGCTCTTCACAGATTCCTTTTTATTATTTGGGAATTGCCATAAATTCTTAGAAAGACAAAGGTTTCCCATTGCCGACTTCACGGTTTTCAATCCCTTTACCTAGATTGACTGACCAAAGGGTTAGAGAATCTAGGCTCTCCCTACTAATTAATCCATAACTGGGTAGGGATAGAGAGGAGAGATTTATATCTTTCTCAAAAGGTATCAGTGTGACAGTGAACAATATACAAAGCCAGAATTTGAACCTGGCCCACCAATTTCACTGCCCATAATACAAGCCTTATAGATGTTTATGACCAAAATGGAGTGGAGTGCATGTCCAAGAAATTACACGCTTTTGTAGCAACACCGATAAAGATATATAAAAAACAAAAGAACAGGTATGCACACACAAATTTCGCAGTACTTATTTCGATTAACCGCGTTACTTATAACGATTACTTCACTACTTATATCAATGTAAAAACAATCTTAGTTGTAAATAATACAAGTGACAGATGGCTATAAAAACCACTTTAAGAAAGATGATGCACTAAAATAAGTAACCAAGTAATCGTTTTAAGTTCTGAATATCGGTGCTGATAAAAAAAAAAAAAAAAAATGGTGTCTGCCTCACCAAAAAACTTATTTTGTTAAAAAGCAGTTTTGATCAACAAAGTCCAGTGAGGTTTATTTTGATATGACATAAATAGTTCGTCAGAGATGAAAGGATTAAACAAGTCATAACATAAAACAAACCTATGCAACATAAAAAAATTGGTACATAATGTTCAAAACTCAAGGATAATGTGATAAAGAGGTGGGGAGAGGAGGAAATAATGTGATAAAGAGAGGTGGGGGGAGAAAAAAAGAGGAAATGATGAAAAATGATGAATAATGTAAATATGTTTGCAATATGCATATTTTGTTACGTTCTTCTGGACAGAGACATTAACAATTCGTTATTGGTTGGCTTATGATTGGCACTTAATTGGCCCCAGTCTCAAGACACAGAAATGCTTGATAGAGAATACAGACAAATTTCTTGACTGGCATCCTTCAACTGCTAGTTTGTCATAGTTTACCATAAGTTCTGGAAAACCACTAGCATCTTGGATTTTAAAAAAAAAAAAAAAAAAAAAAAAAAAGAACTTAAAACATAAAAATTGTAGTGGGGAGGTTGCTAGAAAATAAATTAAAAATTAAAAAAATGAACGAAAAAAAAATAAAATAAAATAAAAATTACTATTTGTCAGTATGTAAGACGTACATAAAACCGTTTACTGTCCAATGTGCTGGTCTTGTGACCAGAGAGTTATCTATTGATGCTAAATATAGTAGGGTATTTAAAAATGGAATATGTGAAAACTTGGATGTTTTTTTTAATTTTATTTTCTTGTTAACGTTTCGCTCTCTACGAGCATAATCCGTAGTGAGCGAAACCTTTAAGAAAATAAACAATAAATCATCCAACTGGTTTTCACGTATTCGATCTGATCTTACATATTTTGTCCGGATAGGGTTGCATATTAAGTTGATTTAGCAGTTTGTAAAATAGGCGTCTTATAGGCCGAAAAATAAGCTTAAATATATTAGGTAGGCGTTTGATAAGTCAGCCTACTGATTAAAACACAGCTTTGAACCAAATCCAAAGATGGCTCTTCTAGCGTTTTGTTCAAAATAACCTAGAACTGGGAGTTTCAAATTATGACAACAATATGAATAGATTTTTTTTTTTTTTGGCTAGATTGATGGCATCATCCCGCAGACTAAAGAGGGCCTGCTTTATAAACAGCTAGTCTCAGAGGATGAGCAGGTTTGATAGCATATCATCTTCCCTTTCATACAGAGAAGAGCCTGATATGAAGTAACCAACCTTTCGTGTTTTAAGCTTTGATCTTCCGCCATTCCTAAGTCATTTTCAACAATCTTAAGTCGGCGTACTGTCTAATGGAGAAAAAAATATGGGTGGTCAGTAATGGATTGAACAAAACAGGTGACAAAAAATCGAATACTTACGCCTCAGCAGCCTCTAAACGGGCTTCTGCGCGTTCAAGATCTACCTCTGTTATGGCCAGTTTACGGGCAGCCTGTGTAAGAAATACGTGTTACCACTATGTCCTTTTGAAAATTTGAAATTAGTATATAGATAGTTTTATTTACATTAGTGGAACACACACACACAATCTGCCATTCCATTAATCATGCAATTAATTTTTTTACCCAACTAATTTAACACCATGCAAATTAAAGATTTAAATTATGCATTGTATTTAAAATATTCTCATTAAAATCCTTTTTTTATTTATTATAAAAACAGTTTGAGGCATTCAGTCTTTTTTTTTTTTATAGAAATAGAAACATATAAAGGAAAAATAATCACGAATTATAAAAATCACATTTTTTTAGATACAGGCTGAATATATATTAAACTTTAGGACATATCACTTAGTATCAGAAAAAAATAAGTATTTTAAAGTGACACCAGGTTGTCTTAATTTTGCAAACGAAGTATTTGTATATTTGTTACTTTTTAAAATTACAACGCTCAGGTTGTTACACATTCTATCAAGCATTATAGAAATAAAAGTGGCTGACACTGATAAAAGCTGAACTCTTATCACTTATTATTGACAGTCCGTGTTACACTGCTTTGCGATAATAGAAAAAAGAAAAAAAAATAGTTAAAAATTAACATAACCAGCTATTCAAAGTCAAACACTGAGAAATAAGCATAATTGACAGCTTTTCTGTAACTAGTAAATTCCAGTTTTTGGAGCAGAATATGGAGAAAAATATTACGTCTAAATTTACTTTTATGAAAAATGCTTACTATAAAATGCAGAAGAGAAAAAAAAACGCCAATTTTTACAAAAAAAAAAAAAAAAATACTGAATTAGTCAAACTGCATAATTTATTTTTTTTCAAAGAATCAAAGTATTATCTAAATCCACCCCTAAATAATCAATGTCAAAAAGAGACCTTTCCGTTTTATAAGCTGAATAATAGACCAAAAACGTTCAGTAAAATTAAATTTAAAAAAGACAATGTAACAATTTTCATTCATTAAAGCATAAAAAGTATATATATAAGAAAAAAAAAAGTAAATAAAAACAAAAATATTTGTGCCAGTCAGCATATTGAATAGTTTCAAAGCAACAAGAAACGGTAATATATACGATTCTTTTTAGTTTTTATTAAGCCAGAAATTCCTTTTAGAAAAATTTTGGATTATAAGTCATTTATTTTTATTAAAGAAATTTTGCTTTAATCAAATCCTGGTTCTGAGGATTTTTTATATTCGTATAAAAACAACATTGTCAGTTCAAGATTGGGTGTTTATTTTTTTTTTTTTTTAACCTTCAAATAATTATTTCAACTTATAGATTAATGGTCATCTGTTAAAAGCTAAAAGTTGTATTTTCTTTTCTTTGAAAGTATAGCATAAACTGACTGGAGAAAAATTCATAACACACACGCAAGACTCAATGAAATCTAAGGCAAACAATTAGTCATTCCATTTTTTTTTTTAATTCCAAAATCTACAAGCTTCCTGGTATCAATAAAAACGATAGATATTTAGAATTGTAAAACGAAAAACCATTCCACTGTATTTTCCTTAATTTCCACAGATAATGAAAAGTCTGTGGAGAGTCTTGATCGCCTTCGTCATGAAGGGATATGACAAGAAAAAAAATGGATTTGAATATTATTCATAACTCTGGTAAATCTCTTAAATAAAAATAAACTGACCAATCAACAATTTATTTCACTTATACGAAGTATTGTCACTGCGAGAGCTTACAGCGGGAGTAACGGCTTTTTTTTGTTGCTATTGCCTGCGCAAGATGTGGTCAGAAGAGGAAGTCTCGTCTAAGAGCTCACTAACCAACGCATCTCCCTCAGCCATCCGAGCGTGTCAGTGATGAGATTTTATCAAGTGATAGGGCAGAGTCAAGGGAGAAATGAATTAATGCCTTCCCACCAACGAAGTGAATTAATGCCTCCCCACCAACGGATTCGGTTCAATATGCTGGCATCTGTTAAACCAGACAGAACTTTCATGAAATACATTGTCTAATTAAAAAGCCGAAACATTGTATGGATTACTTTGAATGGTAAAAATACGGTAGTTCTACAATCAGATCTACATAGGAACCACTGATTAGTATGTAAACCCCTCTCCTGGTGGGTTTGTAACACATCTATTTATCATCTCTGTTGCGTCTTTGGACAGACTGTACTCAAGGGCTCCTCTATCAAAGGACAGAGCCGCAACTGAGGAAAATTATACTGAGAGGTGCCCAGCCCTGAGGAACAACTACTCGAGGCCCTCTGATTGCACCAGAGAGGGATCGGTGCTCGCACTGAGGCCAGCGTAACCGACGGGGCTGCGGGCAATTTTTGTTCCTTGCCCAGGTGTATGTGCTCGGGTTCCCCACCTTAAAAACTAACCTTGCAACTCGTCTTAGTGGGGAGCAGAGAATAATTCTCTATGTGATCTATTAGGAGAAATAAATCGTGCTCCCGCAAGACTGTTACAGAGTTTGAAAATAAATATTTCCTATTTTCGAATAGAAATAATTACATGTTTCATAAAGTTATGTAAAATTGTAATGAATAAAATATTAACTGGAAACTTCATTTTAAGACAGATTTTCGTTCAGAACTTTTACACACATTTAATAAATTATTTTCAAGCCCATTTAGAAATGTTTATCTTTAAACTTTCAAAAGAGGCGAATTGTTGCTGCTTTCAAATAAGTAGGTAAAAAGCAGCCATTATAAAAAAAATAAATAAATAAAATAAGATATACATATGCAATGAAACCAAAAAGCAACAGCGATTACAGTGGCGATGTCGGCGTTGGCAGCAGTAACAGCAACCATGGCACATAGCAAAATATGTGTAGACATTATTTAGAAAGTAGGGCAAAGCTATTGGTCACATGTTAAAAAAAATATAATCATTAAAAGCCAGCAGCGAACTAAATTTGTATAGCCACTTGTATGGTCAGTTAAAGAGAGGAAGTTGAAAATTAGCTATCAACCTAACAGGAAGCTCATCCTGAGAAAATGGGCAGCACATTTTCTTTTTTTAAAATTTTGTTTAAAGCAGACGATGGTTAAAATTTGGATTTTCTGAAATGGGTATGGGGTTAATGTCTCCTGCATTCGATAAGCAAAACTGTTAGATATATATATATATATAAAAAAAAAAATGCCTCTAAAATTCAGGACACATTTAAAAAAAAAAAAAAAAAGTTTTCAGTGAGTCTTTCTATAATTAAATTGTACAATTATTTTTAAACAAACAAACAAAAACAGCAATCAAGAAAATAATAATGATGGATAAATATACAAATTAATTACACATTAATTAATCAGTGCATACTATTCAATCATCAAATATTAATTAGACAAAAAGGTATGTGAGATAAGGATCCCTTGAAAAGGTAAAAAAAGGAAAAGCAGAGATTTAAAAGGGAAGACATTTAAAAAATATGTATTAAAGTTTACAAATTAAGACAAAAAAAAAAGAAAGAAATGATTAAATGTTTTTTTTAAAAAATTGTTTTTTTTTTTAAATAAAAAGGTGAAAATAAAATTAGTTATTCTTGACGTGTTCGGCATAATATTTTGATAACACTAATAGATTAGAGATAATACACTGAAAAATAAACAAAAGTTAAGTATCCTGAATAGTAAAGTTAAATGGATAAAAATTACATATTTATCAAAAGGAACAGTGGAAAATTTCAAATATGTCTCTTGGAGAGAGGGAGCTAAAAAAAGGTAAACTGTTTCTTTTTATTACAATTTTCTAGTTCGAATATTATCCGACTGTTAAAATGAATCAAGAACAAAGAGGTAATTGTCGACAAGACTAATCCTAAGTTCTCAGAAACTTGTCTTTCATGGACAGCATTTTAACTAATTCGATCATTGAATCCTGTAGCTAACCGGGATATTGCTCAATAATTATATTGCCATTTTTAATACACATTCTTTAATGACGAGGCAGTATTTTATTGCCAATATAGTTGTGAGATAGTCCCATCGCTAGCTGCTTCTTTATTCTTACTTCGTACTAATACGATTGGGACGTGTTCGATCTAGAATATTAGAATAAAATATGACGTAAGATACATTTAAACTAAAATTAATAAAAATGCATAAGTAATCAAAGTAATTAAAAAAAAAAAAAAAACATACATATAGCAAAACCTGAAGGTTTTCCCTTAAGATAATTTAAGCTCCTGACGATTATAATGAACAATTACACAAAGGTTCGTCTACGAAACTTCGGAATAGAGGGGCTGAATATAATGCCAACAGCTAAGTGACAAATTCTGCATTAACCATTTTATATATATATATATATATATATATATAGCACCTGCGATTAAAAGAGATCGTTGGAGAACCCATCATCAATAAAATCATAATGGCAGTATCCCTCAACTTTCCGACGAAGACGTGATGTTATACTGGGTTAATTAACCGGAAATAATTTATCTTTATTGCAATTTGTTTCAATTATCATTGCTTGTCAGCGACAAGATTGCACAGGGAAAAGTAGTTTCATATTTTCCAAAACATTTGTGCAAATGAAGCACTTTTCAACATCAAAAAACTACTGCACCATTTTGCACATATTGATAATTGATCAAAGTGCATACATGATATTTTTTCCATCTGCACACTGACCAGTATGTAACAAAACATAATCCATCAAAAATTATTTTAAAACTGACGGAAAAGTCATAGAAGGATAACCTCCTAGGGGCTGTGAAATGACTACATGGTTATACCTAATTTGGTGAATTCGTCTTATGGGGAAATTTTCTAGCGTAAAAGATTCGATTTTAACCGATGCTTTACTGTAGCCCGACTAGACTAAGTTTACTTAGTAAAAGATAGGTTTTTGCAGGGATCCAAGGATTGTTCTGTTATTCTCCATTTGGACCTTTGATTAATATACAAATGTCTATTATCCTATGCACCTGTTTCATAAAACAAGAGTCATCCTTTGAGTGCCTTCGGGCGCAGGCGCACGCCATTCTTTCCATCAAAAATCAAAATGGATGCACTGAGACATGCTTCGACTGCTAGAGAAAACATAGAAGTCGAAGATATAGCTTCTGATGAGATTTTAAGCCAAATTCCACACTTCGAAAGCTCGACTTTTCTGGACGGTGCATTAACTACTCCAGCTACAGAAGCTTTGATAATAAAGCTGAATACAATTTTGTAGTCATTCTGTGATGCGCCATCTTTGTTTTACTTAGAGTTTATTTTTCTTTCTTTTCGATATTCACTGTTTTATTGGTTTATAAAGTCACAACAAATGATAAATAAAGCGGACATTTAAGTCTGTTAAGCGCAATGTAATTACAAGAATAGGATTCATTTATCTTCAAGCTAAAAGATTTGAACTCAAAATAATCAAATGATCACGTTTTGTCAAATTTAAAATTAATTCTATTTCTCTTACACGATCGAAAGAGTCCAGTTCAGAGAGAGAGAAAATCAATTCGCCTAGCTTTACAAAGTAGATTCACCTGATATAGATAAGTACTATAGGTATGTTGTTGACAAATTCTACTCAACAATTACTGCTTTTAAGATTAAACTTTTTCTCATTATTACTTTTTACGTATTTTCCTCATTGTTGCTTTTTTTAAAAAAAAGTAACTTCGAAGAAAGTATTCCTATCTTAGTAAATACATTTTAAAGCTTGATCCCAGTGAAATTTTCCACTGATCTTTAAATGAATGTAAACCATTTTGTCTACAAAAGTCCATGCATCAAACCACTCAAGCATTTCAACTTCATGCTGCAAATCTAGTTCTATTACTAGCTGCATATTTTTTTGTATCTTTTTTTTTTTTTTAAAGAACAAAAAAAAAAACTCAATCAAAGTCGGGAGGTCTTTGATTGCTAAAATGCTCAGGCAAGCAAAATGTCTTTTTTTTTTTTTTTTTTGGGTCTCAAGAAAAAACAAAGCAATTCCAAACTTTGACCACTAATTTTTTTTTTTTTAAAGAATTTTGTTTTTAAAATAGCATTTTGCCAAAAAATTTTTTTTATCAGACTGGCACAGCAAACGCCATGCTGTCACCTCATCAAATTTCCGATCTGCATCTTCAGCAATCCACTTGGCCTCCTCTAATTGTTTCTCCAGCAAGTCGATACGTTCTTCATCTCCCTGGCTTCTGTTTTCCAATACTTTGCGCCCTCTAGTGGTGCAGAACAGATATTGCTCATGAGTTAAAAAGATAGGTATAAATTATTAGAAAACGCAAGCGACGGGTATTAGTTATGTTAAAAAAAAATAAAAAAAAGAAAGAAAAAGAAAAAAAAAAACAGGTGGTCACCATGGTGATTGGTACATCTTTTTAAGTATTTGGTCAACGCAACGCGGGTGGTGGAGCAGCGACATTAAGGAAAAAGAGGGTGGGCAGACAGGACATGCTTACACTTGACGCGTGCAATCACCTCTTCGTATTTGTGATCAGCTTCCTCGGATATATATTTCGACTCTTTCAGCTCGGCCTCAAGTAAATCAATCCTCTCGTCATCAACTTGAGTTCGACTTTCTAATGCCTTTAGCGCTCTGTCAGCAGACAGGGAAGAGAGAGAGAGAGTTAAATCTTAAAGCGGTTCGCGGGCTTGGGGAGGTCGCAATGGAGAGCGGTATTACCCGGATGCAAGAAGTGGAGGTATGGACAAAGATAAGGGTATAACAAGAGATAGAGAGAGAAAGAAAGAAGGAAGAAAAGGAAAAGGGACCTGAAATGAAGAAATTAAATTAATTCTTTGCTGGAAAGAAGAAAAAAATCAATTAGAAAATACATGGAATGAAAAATTTACGATAAAAAAACACTGCATTCTTTTTCAAAATGTTACCATCCACAGTTTTGTTTTGATTTATTTATTTTTGCAGAGTAACAGAAAGAAATCTGCATATTTGAGGCAGACATTTTGTTTTTTTTATAAATGACGATGTTGAAGAAAATAGTCTTCACATCAACATACCTCTTCATATTTCCTTTCAGCCTCATTTGCCGTCTGATTGTATTGTCTCATCAAATCTTCAAGATAGCATATTCTTTCGTCATCACTCAGGGATCTGTTTTCTAGTGCTTTCTTGGCTCTGTGAGGGGGGAAAAAATTGTGTCAACAACAAGGTGCATGCAAACTAAATTGCCACCAAAACATACCTCGTCGTATTTTTTCTGTGTTTCAGTAGCAAACAGCTCGGCTTCTTTGCATTTCTGCTCCAGTCTTGTTATATGATCCTCATCCATGGAGCTGCGATTCCTCAACACCTGGACAGCTCTAGTCACCACCACAGCAAAAGCAGAACATACAATCACATGCACAATATTTGGTAGAGTGAATAACAAGGCAAAAAGAATAATCAATTTGTTTTTTTTTTTAATTTTTTGGTGTGTTAAAATATAAAATTAAAAACAAGCCAGTTATTGTTTGTGAGGGTTTAGCTTTAATTTTAGTGCATATATTCCACGTAGAAGTCTAGCGTTTTAATTCAGACAAAGCTACTAAGACAAATAGTCAACATCTCTTAATGTGCTTGCTTGTATGTACGCCCGTTACACTTTTCTGCCAAGGAGCAGTGTGTAGTATCTTAAGGGGAAACGAGTGTGAAAAGCGAGATAGTGAAGGATGGGGAAGATAGCACCTAAGAAAGCTATTAGGAAACGATAAGAAAAAAAATAATAAAGTACCGTATATGTCGACGTAAAAGGCGACCTTTTAATCTGAACACCCCACGCGTCAAAACAAAAAAAAATATAGTAAGGGCCGTCTTATACTCCAGGTATAAAATTTAAACCATAAATCCTGTGGTAGTTAATTGACAATATATCACCACCTTTTTTCGATGATGTTGAGCAAAAACACAAGTGGACATTTGTCTCAACAAGCCGCTTAAAAGATCGCATTTGAGGACAGTGGAACGAGTGCAAGTTTAGTGGGGAAAAGTCATTCAAGCCTACTGAAAACACAGCATCCACTCATGTGGTATTATATATTGTGGTAGTTAAATGACAAATATCTTCCCCAGCATTTTTTCATTAGAAAGAGTAAAAAAGAAAGTATATGCTTACAGAATTTATTTAATAAATTCAATACATTTTAAAATACGACTTAGGGGTGTCAGGCACGGCGAATATAGCCCGAAAACTACATTTTAACTTGAAAATTTGGGGGTCGTCTTATACGCCGGTATGCATGCGCATATTAACGTCCTTCTTGGCAGAGGGAAACTATCATTAGATCTGATGTCCCTTAACCGATCCAGCCTTGCCGATCAAGCAAAGTCCGAAACGTGCCTTTAATCGAAAATCCTTATAGTATCAAATTCCTCAAAATTTTCATAACTGCTTAGTTTTGGGAAAATATGAGAGAGAGAGAGAGAGAGAGAGACTTTTATGCATGTTTCGCTATTATTGTAGACAAAGATATATTAAGAATATACGATAGTGAATGCTGGATAATCTCAAAGATGAAGAAAAGATTTGAAACAAGATAAATGTCGTCCTATAGAAGGATGCTGAAAATAACATGGAACAAACGTGTGCAAAAACGAATTTTTAATTAAAATGGAAACGAAAAGGACACTTAGACTTAACATCAGAGAGAGAGAGCTTAAGTTTCTAGGGCGCATAATGAGGAAAGAGGGCTTGGAAAATTTGATACTCACAAGTCAGATTGAAGGCAAGAGTGACAGAGGAAAACAACGCATGACCTACCTAGCGAGCTTGAGTAAATGGATGGCGGGACAAGAAATAAAGAAAAAATTTGTTAAGAGCTACAAAGCAAAGGAAATTGTGGAGAGACATGATCGCTAATACCTTGAATAGACAGGGTACATAGTTTTAAAAGGTTTGCATTTTCGAAAAGAGAAAATATTTACACAACTTTTGAAATGTGTCTACTCAAAAAAGTGTTAATGTAAATTATATTTCAAATTTCGCCCAAGGATTTCATATGATGACCGTAGAGTTGTGAAGCGACCTCGTTGCGAGAGTCTGCAACAAAATGGCTGGGCCCAAAAATGAATGATAAAAATGTTTCAGTTAGGAAAAATCAAGCAACTTTAAATATCCCAGTCGACAATTCCCCAAATTTTATAATTTAAAAATAAAAACATAACTGCTAGATATATTCTAACATCAGATCATATTCAAATTTCGGCTTCAGTCCTCACCGGGTGCCCCGTTCTTTCGGCCTTGTGCCACATCTAAGCTATGCTTAGAAAATCACCATATTCAACTTTCACCTAAAACTGCTTCCGTTCACTTAACATTAATAAAGACATGAATCCACTTCTCCCTGAGCTCTATCCCATCACCAGGTGTCTTGACAAAAGATCGCACACCACGAGAATTGACACAGGAGAAAACAGGTCAGTGAACACATTAGCAAACAAACCAGACGAAACGACTCTCCATAACTAGTACCTATGTGGAATTAACGAAAATGCTGTTATACTCATTGTCAGTTTTGACGGGATAGCATACAAGGTTAGAAACTTCTCTCTCAGAAAAATGCTTTGGGTTTGAAATTTATCTTAAGCGGTTATTTCGTTTATATTCGAAATTTTAGGAATACTAAAGTTTGAAGAAAGAACTATTAAATATAAAACGACAATGTATGGTCGTTAACAAAGACAGTACAAGATTCGAAGTACGAATTGCAGACCCCACAAATCAAGCAAATACAGTAATTTTGCTATCTTATTATAATCAAATAACAGACGATGGGAAGGCACATTGGAATAGCGAAAGAAAGTATTAAGACTCAGTAAAAAAATTGCTAGAACCAAAGAAAATAGTATGAAACTGGTATGTAATACCAACTCTGATAGTTAATGTTGGCCAATTTACGAACAAGGGGAGCCCCTAAGGTAACAAATGTGATTATATAGAAGGATACTGAAAAATAACACGGATGGAACATGTGAACAATGAGGAAGTTTTAGATTATTAAAAAAAAAAAAAAAAAGGACACTTAGAATGAGAGCCAGTTAAAATTTCTGAGAAATACGAGGAAAGAGGACTTGGAGAATTCGACAGAAAACATTTTGAGGGACAGAGAGCGAAACGAAAACTTATCTCGCGAGCTTGTACAAATGATTGACAACAGAAGTGGGTTGCGGGAGGGGGGATAGTAAGATGATAAATATTGCTTATAACTACAAAAGGATAGCAAACTGGAGATCTATAATCGTCCATATCCGAAAAGGACACAGCACATAAATAAAAGTAGTCAATATTTTAAATGCAAAATATGATATGTGCACTAAAATTAAAACTGGCAAGATGTTTTATTTTTAAGGGGTATAGAAGCATTAAAAAAGGCAGAAATTACTTTAGGGTTTTGTTCGAAATATAGAAAGACAATTTAATTCGAAGTAATTTAAATACAGTTATTGAGGTCAAAGAAATTTTAGTTTTGAATTGAATTCTTATTGGGTTTTGCCTTACATGAAATCAGCAACATCAGTTAGGTAAACTGCGTTGATAATCAATTCGAGATGTTATAATCAAAGCAACCTCACCAATTGTTAATATGATGCTTAAATCTTTAAATCCACAAGCGGCCATATTAAAATATATATCCAAATTTTTTTTATTTCTAAAATTAAACTAGAAGTTAAAACCTTACTTTGCCACGTTAAGATCCCCATCAATCAGCAAATGACATTAACGTTCTTTAACTATTAAAATTAGTTTAAATGTAATTGTTTAAGCTTCTAGAGTTTTAAAAAAAATAAACAGAAATTTTAATTTCTTGATTTTAGGAGTAGAATTTATTTTCAGTGTCAAAGTTATTTATTTTAAGTAAATGTTTTATATTTTACTGTTAGTTATATGTGCGACGATAACGCAACTAACACACAAAGCCAGACACCGTGATTTGCTAAAAAGCGTTTGGATTTTTAAGCTACGTTTTTAACAAAGAAAGCAATAATACGCACACATAAGCAAGTGAAAATGTTCTACATAAAGAAGTACTAATGCCAACAGCGGGATGCTGACGTAGGGTCGTTCATAAACAACAAAAAAAAAAGCATGTACAAAATAAAACGGACTACAACACAGACAACAAAAAGACAATACTTAATTGTTGGCAATTTTGCTTAACCACGACAAGCATTTTAATAATATCAAAGGTGCATTTAAGCGATTTGACCCCAATTCATATTGGCAAGCGTTTGACTATGCTCTTCATTAAACTAAATTGGTCAAAGCTTATAAAATGAAGAGGACATTAACACGTTCAGCGCCAAACGACATTAATTACGTAATGTCCCCCTTTTGAAAAATCACGCTTTGTCTTTTTGTTCAAACTGCCGTGACTAATGCCGACTTTCTAGTGATGCTATTTAGTCTCTGGATAACCGCCATTATTCTATTCTTGGCTTACACACAGTAAAAATAAACATTGTCGCCGAAGGCGTTAAATGATGTTGACGGTCACTTATGAAAGGAAAAAAATAAATATCGAGTATCAGAAATACTCATAAGTTCATGACCGAAAACTTTTCAGTCAAATTACCGTATCTCCCGTTATGCTGAGACGCTCCCCACCCCCACCTGATAAATACCCTCGAATCATCTGTATGTTAGCACTGAAACGTCAAGTTTTAGAGAGGAGTTTGACAACCCTCACAAATTCCAGTAACGAGAGAAAAGCAATCACGAACCCCCAGACATAATATAAACCTACAATTATTCATATGTAACAAATACCGTATATCATGTTAGTATTATACAAGATTATGTTGTTTTTTCGACTATTAATAATAACCAGTAGGTAGTTTTCTACCGGTGCTGTAAATCTTTCGTTAATCTAGACACACAGCATGGTATATCTTCACAAACCAGAACCACGTAAATTTAATAATAACCACAAATATTTAATAACCGATACAAAAAAGTGATATTGTGTTGTGAAAGAAAGAAAAAACACCGTACAGTCAGCGACTTGAACTTGCTGGTACGGGAAGCTATTAAAATCCTCAAGTATTTTTCCTCAAGAACATTTAGCTAATTACGGGGGGGGGGGTGCGTCCTAGCACTTGTAGCGTCTGAGCATACGGGAAATATGGTAAGCTTTTGTATG